TTTGATAATCCAGAGATAGAGTCTGTTGGCTTCACCTGTGGGAGAAAATACATGCTTTGTCTGAGGGAAGATGCTTCAGACATGGAAGCTGCAGCCAGAAGATTTGAGCAGGAAGATGGAATACTCAATGAGATACGAAAGCAAATGAAAAGTGACAAAAACGTGTATTCCTATCCTTTGTCAAATATGTTCCAGAGGGCTGAGGCAAATGGATACACACCTTATTGTGAGATGAAATTTGATTGTGTTACCAATTTTTATACCACCCGAAAGCAGTCTACTGATAGTCAAAAGTGTGGGAAACAAACTCAAATTGTTTCAGGACATTGCTTTGAAAATCTTAAACCTGAAGTATCTGCGGTTTCTTTTTCTTCAGCTGCATCTGCTTTATGTTCTCTTAAAAAGCCTTCTGAGACGACATCCTTTGCTCCCAACATTGTAAGTCACTGTCTATTGGTTTTAAATATCATCATTGCATCTTCCTGCATTGGGAGTTACATTTCCTTTTCTTATCTTTCTTGTAGGATGTGGGAGAAGCTTACTTAAAATTAGGCATTACTGATTTTGAAAAGATTTGTGAAAGAATATCCAGCAATACTTCTGATTCTTTTATGTCCCCTGCTCATTATGAAGGCCAAATAAATATATGGACAATGTTCATAAATTAGACATGAAGCTCATTGTGCATAACGAGAGTGATGATTCTGATTCAGGGATATTTAGGGTAAAGCGCCCTTCTTCTCTGAAGGCAGAGAGGAGAAATGTAAATGGTGCTATGTCTTCAAGGCATTCTGGGCAGCAGGTATTGTCATATATTTTAACCATGATTTTTTGTCTAATGGCTCTCTCAGCTGAGAGACTTGTGTAGACTGTGAGTTGTGTACTAATCAACAATCAATACATCATTACTTTAAATGTAAAATAATTGTGGCACAGGATTTATTTAATCTAAAAGTGGCAACATGTTAATGATTGTTGATTTAGTCCAAATAACCTGTGCAGATGAGGTCTAACAAATAATTTATCCTTTGGAGCGTACATATCTTACATTCTTAATATTTTCTGTGTTCTTAAATTAACTATCTAATTCTTTGTTTATGAATGCATGGGCCAATGATGATTAGCAGGGACTCGAAGAATTGAAGAAAGTCCTTCACGAGGGAAGGAGTATGCAACCAATGGATTTCAGCAAGAGCAAGGAATCGAGCTACAAATGTAGTAATGCTTTTAGTCATAAAGTTGAAGGCAACATATCCTCGAGGGACAGATTTGCAAGGGGCAATAGCATTCCCATATCATTAAGATATAAGATAAGTAATGACGAAGCGAATAGACGATCACATCACTGCCGGAGAGATAGATTGCAGCACACATTTAGGGAACTGCCTTCCATAGCGATTGGTCAAAAGCGCTTAAATACTCAAGGTCCTTCATTTCTGGGCTTAGAGAGCAGATTGAAATGAATTGAATTTTGAAGTTACTGGCTCGTCGGTCTTACGTAACGGAGACCTTGCTAACTACAGTAAGCTATTTGGGCTTTCTAACAGCAGGGAAAATTCAGATGATTGATCGTCGAAGCAGCGGCAAGATATTAACCAATTAGGATAAAAATTATACATTCTTTGTGCAGGCCTAACATTTGGCAATCTGCACGGGGAGGTGATCCTCGGGCCAAGGTTTTTTTCCAGCTTTGGTAGGAGAGCGCCTTTTCGGCGGGCTAGAGCACAGAATTGAGTTTCTCATTTCTTTGTAATTTTTTTTCTTCTTGACAAGTCGTTTAAGTCAATTATTCAGGGACGCTGCCCCCCTCCAATTTTTTGCTCAATTCAGTGCTTTTAGCTGCTTCCCGTTTTAATGTTCCTTCATTCTTTTTGTAGCAATAGGTCCTCAAACCTATGACTACCGGAATAAAGTTCAGAGAAATTCCTTATTTCTTCCCATACCCTCTTTCCTTTAATTGTTCCGCAAAATGTTATACCTGAATAGATGCCATTACTTTTTTTTTTATAATCGAGCTTGACATATTAGTTAAAGTTACCATGTAAATAACGCACACGTGTTACGTTTAATCTGTAAATGATTGAGAAAACTATTCTCTGAGTACCTAAAATATATCAACTTTTAGTTAAGCCAGACAAGGTCAATGATGTTTCTTTCTTTTTTTTTTTTTTTTTGCTGTTGGTCAATGATGTTTCTGACCAAACACAGTTCATCTTGCAATATAAATGTCAAGTTGTCTTAATATTACGTACATAATATATCAAGAATAACGCTGGAGTAATACAAAACTCATCAGGTGATGTGAAAATTCTACTATTATCGGCATACTTTTGTTGCTATTATTTTGGTTTTTGGTAGAAGAATGGGGCACAAAGAATACAAAAAAGGCAGAAAGTGTTCGTTAGGTATTGCAGCCCCACAAATGTCAAAGCATATTAATTTACTTACAATCGGAGCTGAAAGAAAAAAACTATCGGGAACCAATACTTTCTGTAACTCCAAAATGCTCTCTGCTCTTGTTGGTTAGGTAGTGTACACAAATTGTTGTTCGAGGGAATAGACTTCTAAAGGATAAAAGAAAAGATTAGATGTCTGCAAAATATTTTTAAGATACGAATATATATTTTTTAGGTTTAATTTATTTTCGTTAACAACTTATCTTGGATGTAAAATAAGTTTGACGATGAATTTATTTTAAAATATAACGAAAGAATTTTAAATGTTACTAGTTTAAAAATAATAATTTATAATAAGTTTTTAAAATAGTTAATCAATAACTTGACAGTGCCAAATTTAAAATTTAAAGACCAAATTCTAGATTAATTTTTAATTAACTGTTGTAGAAATTATTTTGAAGATTTACTGACGTAAAAAGACTTTTTATAATAGTTTTAAGCATAATTGATGTAAATAGTTTTTGTCCGGCTAGTGATTTATTATTAAGTAATCTATAATATTTTATACTTGTTCAATGTTAATTGAAAGATTATTTGGTACTAAATAAATTTAGATGGAGTTTAAAATTATAAAAAAAAATAAAATGAACAGTACCGTATGAACAGTGCCGAATGAACAGTAAAACTGCCTATGAACAGTGCAAACCGCGTACAAACCGTGTATGAACAGTAAAAATCGCGTATGTACAGTGGCTGCTGACATTATCATGACGTCATGGTTGACGTCACATCCGCGTACAGTATGCGTGCACAATATTTTCTGGCGTGAATAGTGCTCTGAACAGTGTTTTCGGCGTGAACAGTGTTTCCGACGATGAACAGTAAATTCTGGCGGTGAACAGTAAATTTCAAAAAATTTCTATAAAAAGGGGGCTTCACACGAAATTTTCATTTCTTCATTCCTCTTCAAGATTCTCAAAGGTTCTAAGGTCGTATACTACCATTTTCTCTCATACTAAACCCTCTTAAACTTAATTTCTCGCCAAATCTGAGATTCTACGTCTATTCTGAAGGATTTGAAGTAAGTTTCTTTAAGTTTGAAGCTAGATTTACCATTCGTTTCTCTTCTCCTTCTCTTTCTCATAGAAGTTCATGGTGTTCTTAGGAGAAACTTCGTTCTAAAGCCGAATCTTCGGTGAATATTGCATTAAAACAAGTAATATTCGGTAGATCTAGTGTGAATCATCTTTCTGAGGTAAGGGGACCTTACACTAACCTAAGAACTACGTTTTGAATGGTTTAATATGTTATTTCAAGATATTTTGATATGAATTTTGTTAGATCTTTTGAATAAAAGCTATTTTCTAAGCCGTAACTGCTGTTAATTGATTTAAAATGATGAGATTTTAGTTGATCTATTATAAACTTGCCTTAGCTGAGCTGTTACAATAATTTTGGCGGTGTGCATCATGCTGAAAAATATGTTTTGCATCATTATAGAGCAGAGTTACATGTTTAGGTGGGTAGACGTGTAACGGTAAGTTTATGCTGAGCTGCTGTGCTGTGCTGTCTAGATCCAGATACCAGAATGGGTCGCTCTCGGACCGGCTCGGTTCCTTCTGGATTACTTAGGCTGTGAAACGAGTTGGAAACCATTTTCATGCTGTGCATTAGATGGGCTGAAAATGCATGGGGCTATTGCTGTGAGAAATATTTTGCTTTATATACATGATTTTTTTTTATTTTTGTAAGCTCACCCTTACATTTCCTTCTATGTCGTTGTGTGCGTGTGTACTGCGATGATCGTACGATGGTACGTGAGCAGATGTAGCAGGTGTTGCATCTACTTCATAGGCTGAGGGGCCAGTGGAGAAATGTTAGAAGTTGAAGTCGAGTAATATTGCATCTAAGTCCTTTTTCCTTATATTTTGAGACCTCATGTAGAGGGCGCTACGTAATATAATTTTGGGTATTTTGAATATTATGAACTAAATGTAATATTGTGTTGTTTTATTGGATATTTGTTGTAAGAAACTTTTTTTTATTTTGAATGAGAAGAGAATTTCATACTTATATTCTCTATTATTTATTTATGTTAAATAAGTTTGTGATGTAGAAACAATGTTCTCGGTTCCTTATAAAAGGGGTCGTGACATTTTAGTGGTATAGAGCATGGTCTAGGTAAACCTATAGGGTGAGGTTGTTAGGCGTCAATTGTGCATATTAGACATGTGAGTTTTAGCTGTGAATCATATATCATGATTTCTATTCATCAAGTTGTGAGGGAACGAGCTTGATCACCTCAGTTCTCAGACATGATTGATGTAGGAAACTTGGTATATGATACTTGGGTGAGTTATAGGTGAGTCATACTGTGTGAATAAGAGGCTGTTGAGCTAAGTTGTAAATGATTGTTGAGATAAGTGTGTTTGCTATGCTGTGTGAAATGTTGATATGATGTTGTGCTCAATGCTAAATTGATTAAATTGTTATGATATACTAAATATGAATATATCACTGTAAGCTGAATCTGTGAATATAGCTATGTGGTGGTATTGCTGAATATGTTAAACGTTAGTAATCTAAGCTAGTCTATATATTAGGATGGCTAGACCAAGAAGATCTGCTACAAACCCTCCTCCTGCTGATGTGAACCAAATGGCTCACGCCATGGAGGCCATGGCAGCCACTGTTAGGCAGAGTCTAGATATGATTCAGCAGCAGCAAGCTGCAAACCAAGCCGCTGCTGCAGCACAGGCAGCAACAGCTACTGTCTCAGTTGCACCTCCTCCTGAATACCATGGGTTGTCAGAGTTCAGGAAGAATGATCCTCCTCAATTCACGGGGGTGGATGGACCAGATGCTGCTGAACTCTGGATCAGGGAGATTGAGAAGATCTTCCTAACTATGGGTTGCGCCGAGGAGAGGAAGGTGTTATATGCTACTTATATGCTGACAGGGGATGCAGAGATGTGGTGGCACGGAGCTCGTGCTATGTTGGAGGCCCGAGGTGAAGTCATCACTTGGGCTGTATTTAGAAGTAGTTTTATGGGAAAGTTTTTCCCTTCTCATGTTCGTGCTGCCAAAGAGCGGGAGTTTCTAAACTTGGTGCAAGGAAACTCATCAGTCTATGAGTATGCAATACAGTTTGAGCGGCTCTACAGATTTTATTCTCACCCGACCTCGGAGGAGTGGAGATGTCAGAGGTTTTCAGATGGGTTGAGAACTGACATAAAGAGGATTTTGATCCCACTTAGGATCACAGAATTTGCTGACTTGGTGGATCAAGCCATCATTATAGAGAGTCTTAATGCAGAGGATGTTGGTGGAGTTGGGAAAGCTCCATCTAGTAGAGCTGCTAGTAGCTATGGTAATGGAGGTAAGGGTGCTAAGAAGGGCCCCTACAGTCGGTCGCTAAGCCAACAACAATCTCGACCATCTCAGTCGAGAGGATCGGTAGCATCAGCCCCGGTGCTAGTAGGGACTGCTACCTCTACATTTCAGCCTAGGGGAGCAACTTCTTCTACCCCTAGAGCCTCAGTGCTGCAGATTGTCAGATGTTTCAGATGTGGTGGGCCACACTACCTGAGCCAGTGCCCATAGACTGATGTCAGAGTTTGCTTCTCATGCCAACAGCCAGGGCATCTTGCTAGGGACTGTCCTACGCCTAGTGGGGCAGTTTCGTCTTCTGCTAGTGCCTTGCACGCTGTGAGACCTAAAGCGACTAGAGCTCCAACGAGAATTAGATCGAGAGCAGAGCGACATGTATTCACTACTTCTACATCAGAGGCAGCCCAGGTGATAGATCTCGTTCAGGGGACAGCGGTAGTGGCAAGTACTTCTCTTTCTGTAATGTTTGATTCTGGAGCCACACACTCTTTTATTGCGGACATTTGTGTGAGAACCTTAGGATTACCGGTGAGCGATCTAGGATGTGAATTAGTAGTATCGACACCTACTTTAAGTTCGATTAAGACTTCGATGGTTTGTGTTAGGTGCCCCATAGTAATTGAGGGACGAAAGTACAAAGTAAACCTTATTTGTATCCCGATGTCAGGGTTAGATGTAATCTTGGGTATGGATTGGCTAACTGCCAATTGTGTGCTAATTGATTGTGGCCGGAGGTGTTTAGTCTTTCCTGAGTAGCAAGGCTGTGTGGAATTGATTTCTACTCGCCAAGTAGAAACATCCTTAGGTGAGGGAGTATCTTGTTTTGTTTTGTTGGGAGTTATGAATGCAGAAGTGGAGCAAAGTCAATACCAGTAGTACGAGAATTCCCTGAGATTTTCCTAGAGGATATTCCTGGAATACCTCCACGTAGAGAGGTGGAGTTTGCTATAGATTTGATTTCTGGAGCTGAGCCAGTGTCTGTAGCACCTTATAGAATGGCGCCGAAGGAGTTGATGGAGCTTAAGGAGCAGATTGAGGATCTAATGCGGAAACAGATGATTAGGCCGAGCGTATCGCCTTGGGGAGCACCAGTTCTCTTGGTGAAAAAGAAGGACGACAGTTCTAGATTATGTGTTGATTATCGCAAGTTGAATAAATTGACAATTAAGAATAAGTACCCGTTGCCGCGGATCGATGATTTGATGGATCAGCTCACAGGTGCTAAGATATTCTCTAAGATTGATTTGAAGTCTGGGTACCATTAGATCCGAGTGAAGGATGAAGATATTCCTAAGACTGCTTTTTGCACTAGATATGGCCATTATGAGTATATAGTGATGCCCTTTGGAGTCACAAATGCTCCAACTGTGTTTATGGACTACATGAATCGGATCTTTAGACCTTTCTTGGATTGATTTGTGGTAGTCTTTATTGATGATATTTTGATTTATTCTAGTTCGTCAGAGGAACATGCAAAACATTTGAGGACTGTACTTAGTGTTTTAAGGGAGAAACAATTGTATGCTAAATTGTCTAAGTGTGAGTTTTGGCTAGAGGAAGTGAAGTCCTTGGTCATGTTATTTCAGCTAAGGGAATTGCAGTTGATCCTTCCAAAGTTGAAGCGGTGTTGCAGTGGGAAAGGCCTAAGACAGCCACAGAGATTCATAGTTTTGTGGGCCTAGCAGGTTACTACCGGAGATTTATAGAGGGATTTGCGAAGATAGCTGCACCATTAACACGGTTAACTCGTCGTGATCAACCCTTTGTATGGACTGAGGAATGTGAACAAAGCTTTAATGAGTTGAAGCAGAGATTAACTTCCTCGCCGGTGTTGATTCTCCCTGATACTAATCGACCGTTCGAGGTGTACTGTGATGCTTCACATTACGGATTGGGATGTGTGTTGATGCAAGATAAGAGAGTGGTAGCTTATGCATCTCGCCAATTGCGAACTCATGAGCGAAATTACCCAATTCATGATCTTGAGTTAGCTGCTGTGGTCTTTGCTCTAAAGGTGTGACGACACTATCTTTATGGAGCTCAGTTTGATGTGTATAGTGTTCACAAGAGTCTGAAGTATTTATTTGATCAGCGAGAGTTAAATATGAGGCAGAGATGTTGGGTAGAATTCCTTAAAGATTATGATTTTCAGCTCCAATATCATCCAGGAAAAGCTAACGTGGTGGCCGATGCATTAAGTAGGAATGTGGTTCAGGCATTCTCCTTAAGAGTTAGTGAAACTCTTTTGGTAGAACAATTCCAAGACCTGAACATACATGTAGACTTATCACCTGAAAAGATTAGTTGTAGCTGATTGTGGTGACTAATAATTTCTTACAGGAAATTAAAGACAAACAACTGTGGGATCCGATGTTATGTCGGATTGTATTTCTCTTAGGGACAGACAAAGCAAAGGGTTTTAGTAAAGGTGCTGATGGTATTCTCAAATGGCAAGGTCGAGTTTGTGTCCCTAGAGATACTGAATTAAAGAGAGCAATTCTAGAAGAAGGACATAAGGGTAATCTCAACATTCATCCTGGTGTTACCAAGATGTATCAAGATTTAAAACAGATGTTTTGGTGGCCAGGCATGAAGCGAGAGATAGTTGAATTTGTTAAAGCTTGTTTGACTTGCTAGAAGGCAAAGGCGGAGCACTAGAGCCCTCCAGGAGAGTTGCAGGCGATGGAAATTCCAGAGTAGAAGTGGGACCATGTGACTATGGACTTTGTGTCCCATCTACCTAGAACAGTTAAAAATCATGATGCTATATGGGTCATAGTTGATAAGCTAACCAAGAGTGCGCATTTCTTGCCAATTAACATGACTTTTAGCTTGGAAAAATTAGCAGAATTGTACATTAGAGAGATTGTCAGGTTACATGGAGTACCTTCTAGTATTATCTCTGATAGGGATCCTCGATTCACTTCTCAATTTTGGCAGAGTTTCCAAGAAGCTATGGGCACACAGTTGAGGTTGAGTTCTGCATATCTTCCGCAGACAGATGGTCAATCTGAGCGTACTATTCAGATCTTAGAGGACTTATTGCGAACTTGTATTGTATAGCAAAAGAGTAATTGGGAGGATATGCTTGCTTTGGTAGAATTCACTTATAATAATAGCTACCATTCGAGTATAGATATGGCACCATTTGAGGCTCTGTATGGTAAAAGGTGTAGAACCCCTATCTGTTGGTTCCAAGATGGAGTACATTTGATGGTTGGACCTGAAATGCTGCAAGAAATTAAAGAGAAAGTTGAACTTATTAGAGAAAAGCTGAGAGCCACCCAAAGTCGACAGAAATCTTATGCTGGCCGACGTAGAAGACCTCTAGAATTTGAGATTGGTGATCACGTATTCTTGAAAGTATCACGCACTACAGGTGTGGGGCGAGCTTTAAGAGCCAAGAAGTTACACCTAAGTTCATAGGATTGTATCAGATATTACATCGTAGAGGACCAGTAGCCTATGAATTAGCGTTACCACCTCAGTTGTCAGGACTACATAATGTTTTCCATGTATCGCAACTAAGAAAGTATGTTCTGGATTCTTCTCATGTAATTGAGCCTGATGTTGTGGAGTTACGAGATGATTTGTCTATGGAGGTCCCAGCTGCTCATATCGAGGATACTAGAGTTAAGGAACTTAGAGGTAAGTCTATTCGGTTAGTAAAGGTTGTTTGGGATCCAGTAACAGGTGATGCCACATGGGAGTTAGAGGAAAGAATGAGAGAGTTGTACCCTCATCTTTTCTCTGAGCGATGAAATTTTTGAGGATGAAAATTTATTTTCGGGGAGAGAATTGTCAGGCTAGTGATTTATTATTGAGTAATCTATAATATTTTACACTTGTTCAATGTTAATTGAGGGATTATTTGGTACTGGAATAGATTTAGATGGAGTCTGAAATTATAAAAAAAATAAAAAAAATAAACAGTACTGTATGAACAGTGTTGAATGAACAGTAAAACCGCTTATGAACAGTGCAAACCGCGTACAAACCGTGTATGAACAGTAAAAACCGCGTATGTACAGTGACTGCTAACATCATCATGACATCATGGCTGACGTCACATACGCGTACAGTGCGTGTACAGTACGTGTGCACAGTATTTTCGTGCGTGAATAATGCCCTGAACAGTGTTTCCAGCGTGAACAATGTTTTCGGCGATGAACAGTAAATTCCGGCGGTGAATAGTAAATTTTAAAAAATTTCTATAAACAAGGGGCTTCACACGAAATTTTCATTTCTTCATTCCTCTTCAAGGTTCTCAAAGGTTCTAAGGCTGTATACTACCATTTTCTCTCATACTAAACCCTCCTAAACTTAAATTTCTCGCCAAATCTGAGATTCTACATCTATTCTGAAGGATTTGAAGTAAGTTTCTTTAAGTTTGAAGCTAAATTTAAAGTTCGTTTCTCTTCTCCTTCTCTTTCTCATAGAAGTTCATGGTGTTCTCAGGAGAAACTTCGTTCTAAAGCCAAATCTTCGGTGAATCTTGCATTAAAATAAGTAATATTCGGTAGATCTAGTGTGAATCATCTTTTTGAGGTAAGGGGAGCTTACTTTAACCTAAGAACTACATTTTGAACGGTTTAATATGTTATTTCAAGATGTTTTTATATGAATTTTGTTAGATCTTTTGAATAAAAGCTATTTTCTAAGCTGTAACTGCTGTTAATTGATTTAAAATGATGAGATTTTGGCTGATCTATTATAAACTTGCCTTAGCTGAGCTGTTACAATAATTTTGGCAGTGTGCATCATGCTGAAAAATATGTTTTGCATCATTATAGAGCTGAGTTACATGTTTAGGTGGGTAGACGTGTAACGGTAAGTTCATGCTGAGCTGCTGTGCTGTGCTGTTTTGATCCAGATACCAGAATGGGTCGCTCTCGAACTGGCTCGGTTCCTTTTGGATTATTTAGGCTGTGAAACCAGTTAGAAACCATTTTCATGCTGTGTATTAGATGGACTGGAAATGCATGAGGCTATTGCTGTGAGAAATATTTTGCTCTATATACATGATTTTATTTTATTTTTGTAAGCTCACCCTTGCAATTCCTTCTATGTCGTTGTGTGCGTGTGTACTGCGATGATCGTACGGTGGTACGTGAGCAGATGTAGCAGGTGTTGCATTTACTTCACAGGCTGAGGGGCCAGTGGAGAAATGTTAGAAGCTGAAGTCGAGTAATATTACATCTTTGTCCTTTTTCCTTATATTTTGAGACCTCATGTAGAGGGAGCTACATAGTATAATTTTGGGTATTTTGAATATTATGAACTAAATGTAATATTGTGTTGTTTTATTAGATATTTGTTGTAAGAAACTTTGTTTTATTTTGAATGAGAAGAGAATTTCATAGTTATATTCTATATTATTTATTTATCTTAAATAAGTTTGTGATGTAGAAACAATGTTCTCGGTTCCTTATAAAAGGGGTCGTGATAGTTTTTCTTTTATTTTTCATTTCCTCTCAGTCACTAGTGTCCTAAAACTGCAATATATCTCGTCCCACAACACCCTCTTTTGCACTTTCCTTGAGTTTGCATAATCCTTAGTCTATTCCAACCACTAATAATGCCCTTAAACTCATAAGTTTCGTGAAGCTCTCTCCCTCATAATATGGCCATGGCCATAAGCTCCTTCATAATCGCCCACTCTCAACAATTTTGTGTTGTTTTTTCTGTTATGTGTTATTTTTATTATATTGTGTGTGGGTTCTTATTAGTAAGTGATTATACTTTAATAACTTTGTTTTATTTTTACTCAGAAGTCAGAATGGGGTTCATTTTGTTTGGGCTTTCACCTCACTATTTACTTTTCTACATTTTGTTTATTGTTCTGGGTTTGTTGCTAAAAGTATGTTGGTCTTGGCTCTAAATGTGTTAAATTTGCAATAAATTAGAAAATGAAGAGCTTCTAGGGCTAGTTGTTTTTGACTAACATATGTAGCCATATAAATATATTAGCTCATTTGTAATCTAATGTGCATAGAGGGTGCTCCACTTTAGTGTGTGTGTGACGACCTTTTTCTAACGACAAAAATGTCAATTTTTTTTTGTTTACCCAAACTAAATTGATCCTTACTCTTATCTTGGTAAATCATTCTTACACAATTTTTCACATGTATATTTTAATCAAGCAAACACATTTTTAATTACAAGCAACTTATCAGATTTTGTTCCTTAGTAGCCCTAGAGACTGACTTAACATTCAGACAAGGCATAAGGCATCCCGTACCACTTTACACCTTACTCCAAGGATCTAATGCGTCCCATACCACATTAGTTCACAAGGTAAATATTAAATCCTTAACTAGTATCATACCAATTTAGTAAAAATCCAACATCAAAGAATTACTCACCCATTGACTCTAATAACCCTAGTTAACCTATGAAATTTCATACGTGCATAGGAATCCCATTGTGCGACCATGATTCGACTGACACAATTATGTTTCTTGACGTAGCAATCTTGCTAACAAAATCTTGTTACAATCCTCGAGTGTACCTGTGCCCCTAGACATAATATCGAAGATTTCCAAAACAAGAATAAAAGAGAGGGGTGAGACTTTTCAAATACTCATAAAAGAAGTTAGGACTTGAAAGGAAGGAAAGAAATAATTAAAAGTATAAACTTATATAAAACCTTGATTTTCAAAAATCAACTTAACCAATATAATATAAATAATTTCATTCATTCACAAGCAGACACCTCATATATTTCTAATCTAATGTCAAACTATGATGCATGGGACTTATGCATATGCTGACTTTTGGTTTGGCTTAAAATCATTTGTTATGCTCATGTGACTCTTGAATTTATTCTTATCATCGAAATTTGTTAGGAGTTTCACTACCCAGCTTATATTTGGCATATATGGTGGAGACTCGAACCTCCACCTACTGATCTAACTCGACTAACATGATAAGCCTTAAGAGAAGGTAAGGATAAAGGAGCATCGCATGGAGACTCCCAACCAAAGTTTCAGGATATAGGACACTTATAAGGGCTATTGGTCACCCAATTCCATTAAATCCTCTAGACGTCGAGGTCCTCCTTATCTTTCACCAATAACAGTTATAAAATAACCTTGTAACTTCCTTCACAAGGGAGAGGTATCCATACCTATTGCCATTGTCATGACCTTTTTTTGTAAAGAATCAATGACATTCGCATTATCATTTCTAATTCACTTATTTCCTTTATGAGACTATATATATATATATATATATATATGTGTGTGTGTGTGTGTGTGTATGTGTGTGTGTGTGTGTAAAAGAGTATAAATTTTCAAAAAATTGAACTTTAACATCCAATTTAAGGAAGTAACAAGCTTCAAGGACATTTTTATACAATACCAAGCATCTTCATAAATTTATGCATTTATATAAGCTAATTCAGCGGGGAAGTAAAATACAAGTCTTCAAAACATAAATTACATTCCTTGAAAAGTGTAGCCCAACAGTCTAGACCTATTACTGCAACCTAGATTGGCGAAAATAATATACGCTACAATTTTTAAAAAATGCCAACTTCGTCGTCCCTCAGCCAGACCTTTCAGCTTGAGAAGTAGACGCATTACCTGTCCTTTTTGTTCATGTACCACCGTACGATCATTGCAACACATATAACAACACAACGAAAAATGCAAGGGTGAACTTATATAATTAACAATCATAATTATAGAATATGAATATGTAAAATGATTTAAACAGCTAATATATTTCATAGCATTCAACACAATAGCTTCAATCAATTGATGCAGCATGTTCAGCCCATTCCCAACGCAACTAATGCAAATGCAGTGATTCAATTTCCATTTGATTTTACAGTCTAAGTAATCCAGAGGAACTATTATCCAGTCTGGGAGCAACCTATCCCGGTATCTGGTTCCAGACACAGAACAACTCAGCATACTAATTAGCTATGGTGATAATGAATGTGATGTATCACGACGAAATCAACTAAATAAGGCATCATTAAATCTATTTTTAGTCTTAGCAATACAGCAATGCATATAATTTCAGCTAGTTTCAACATCACAACAATATTTATATATTTCCACAACCTCAGCAACACATGTTTGTGCATTTACACAATAAATCAAACTGCTTACAACATTAACTAAGCATTTCCAACTAATTAAACAACTCACAACTTTAATGAAACTTTTCAACATACTTCAACATTCTCAGCACATATATCACCATATTTCAACATATCACTTTTCTTTACAACATCCTAAGTACTCATTAGGCAACGAAGAAATCTACTCAACTATATCATTCTGGGTTTTAGTCTAGAAATTGACCACTCAATAACTTGTTTCTCGCTATAACAGAATTAAGTTCACAAATAGCTCCATATTTACTAAATGAATGAACTAGCTCAGATAAGCTCCCCTTACCTGAAATGAGTTTTCCTCAGATCAAACTCCTAATGAGTCTCGAAGAGATAGATCAACCGTTTGAGTATGAAATACAACTTGAACGGTTTAGATTTACTCAGAACAACACGGTATAAGTCTTATGAGAAAGAGAGAGAAGAAACAAAGTAAAGACCCAAAACTGAGCTCCGAAAACTCACCTAGATCTTGCTGAAGGTTTCTCTAAGGTAAAATGGTGAGAGATTAGAGAGAAAACGGGAAAGGAAATTGTTTGGTGAAAAAATGAAGTTTCTGGGCGCTGAAGCCCCCTTAAATATCCCTCCAGCCTGCGCTAGAGATGGCAATTGGTAGGGTATGTGTATGGGTAGTGTACTACAGTACCCAGCCCCATACCCGCGTGGGTATGAACATTAATCCCCGTACCTGTACCATCTGGGTACCTGCATACCCATCTTGTACCCATTACCCACGCTTGTTTGAGAAAAAAATATTTATAAAGAAAAATATGTTTATATAATTTCACATAAGTAGCATAATAATACAAAAATTCAATATATAGTTGTCGAACAAGGTACAAACATAGATAAAAAATAAATATTCAAAGCTCACAAATGCTAAATGTATCTTAATATAATAAATTTTTAAACTAAAATTCTTAGAAACAATAAGCAAAACTAAACACGCAAGTTATTTGTCGGCGATAACTCTGTCTTGTGTGAGATTCGATCGATTGACAACGTTAAAGCGACAACGAAATAGATCTGCACAGTGGGTGGCCTTTCGTGTGGAATCACTTGGTGACCTCTTATGGCGGCATTGATAACTAACCTTAATGAACAACATTTTATAATTGTTAGGTTTTAATGAAACAGACATTGAGAATGAGAATATAGTTAGGGTAGAGAAGTTCAAGTACTAATAACGAAAAGTGGATACATAAAATATTTTTTTTAACTTTTGAATTTGAAATTGTAAGAAAAATAATAGATTTAATAAAAGTTATATATATATATATATATATTAATATTAGTATTTTTAACTCATATACTATATGAAAGTATTTTGTCAAAAATATAAATTTTAAAAAATTATTTTAATGAATTAAATATTTATAATGTATATACATTTTAAAAGAAAGAATTTGAATAAAAGATAAATGATCACAATAAAATTTTATAATAAAGAAATATATGTGTATATAAAAAATTATACTTTTTTATCTGAAGAAAAAATTAATAAATAAAAATTAACAATAATTTTTTATATTTTATATCTTTTCAAAAACTTATTTGAACGTAAATAAATAGTAAGAATAATATTATTTAGATTCAATAGATTATAGTTGTGCTTGTAATATATATATTGTATAGTAAAATATTATTTTAAATTAAAATATAAAAAATAAAATTTAAATATTATCAATAAATAATAAGTTTATGGTAATTGTCAAATTTATAAAATATTAATAATATGTTTATTATTTATCATTCACTTTATGATTTAAATATTAATATGATTTTAAAAATATGTGTGAAAAATATT